GGTCCTTTGACGGAAGATGATCTCCCTTCCACTAGTTACGTGGAAAGACTGCTCATTGGTAGTGAGGGGACGGCTTTGACAGGTGTACCTTGCCCCGTGAAAGACATCATTGCGAGACGCAAGAAGAATCCAGAGGAACAGTTCCTAGTGTTATTGGCGACTTACGAGACTTTATGGAGACCAAGAAATACTCTACTGCCTACTTACGCCTCTCTGATTAAAGCGTTCGAAGACAACAGGAAGGAGGCTGGGCTTCCGGAACTTCGTCGCAGCGCGCGCTGGAAGAAGCTAACGCCGCTGTAAACGAAGATGAACTACTCTTCTAAATAGTAGTGGAGTGAGATTGGTCTTTCGAGTCACGGTGGACTCTAAAGTCAGTCTTGATGGGGAGTGTGCAGTGAAACACTTCCTACTTTTACTTTGCATATTTTTGGATATTACGAAACGGTTTCAAGCCACATGCATTACGAAGAGAGACCAACAAGTCATCGGAAGCGAGATGAACTCTACAAGGGGCTTGTTGAAAGAAAAACAAAACGAAAAATTAGTTATGAAGCGACACTACTTCTCCTACACGCTTCTAATTGGGACGGTCTGGATCACTGCGGGCGTGGGGAAGGAACGCTGGACAGCGTGACTACGCTGACGTCTTCGACGGTGGCGACTTGGACGGCGAACGGTCCGGAGACACCGTAGCCTTCTTAGGCGAAGGTGAATGCGACTCGGCACGCTCCTCGGGACTCTCGGGAGTCTTCTTGGTGGCCGACGGAGCTTCTGCTGCTTGCTTGTCTGGCGACTCTTCGGGCTTCTTCGTCTCAGGTGGCGGAGAGAGCGAACGGTGTGGGGAACGCTTCGGAGACGGAACCTTCTTTGTCTCTTTTGCGAATGGCGAACGCGAAGCTGAACGCCGACGCGAGACTCGCGAGGTTCCCCTCTTGGACGACGACCCCGCTGGAGATGCCGAACGCCTGGACGAATGCGTGCGTCGAGTCTTCTTGGCGGGCGAGGCCGAACGCGACCGTGACTTAGAGCGCTTAGAAGAAGCAGTCTCCGCCGCCCCCTTTTCCTTAGAAGGAGGAGACTTAGACGCCGAACGCTGTCGAGTGGCCTAGGCCGAATCCCGCTTGGTCGGCGACTTGGACTGCGACGCCGGACGCTTAGGAGAAAGCGTACGTCTCGACTTCTTCTTCTCCGGAGACGCCGATCGTGACCGAGACTGTGACGGATGGCGAGAACGCTTGGGCGACAGTGTGCGTCGGGACTTCTTCTCTACTGGAGTAGGCGAACGCGATCGCTCCGAATATGAGGTGCTAGCCTTGCGCTTACCGCTTGCGCGCTTGGGGAAGGGAGGTCGCTCGGGCGTAGATGAACGCTCGCGCGGTCGCGAGCGACTCTTCCGCTTGTACGAGCGACGGGGTGAACGAGAGCGTGACGTGGAACGCTTGGCCGACTTCTTCGACTTAGGAGGAAGAGAACGTGACAAGTGCAGACGCTTGAAGGGACGCTTGCCACCGGCCCCACTCTCGCCCGAACTGGATTCGTAGCCCCGTGCGTCTTTGCCGTCAACTCCGTCGGGTCCGTCGTCCTCGTTCTCGAACTCTTCTTCCTCCGATTCCGCGTCTTCTTCCTCGACCCGGTGAAGGCTCCGTTGGTACGCTCAAACGATGCGTACCCGTCCTGATCGGCTTTAGAGGAATCAAAGGGAGCGATCCTAGGTGCCTTGAGCGTTCTATCGCGGGCTATCTTGACCTCCGACTTCTTGAGGCGTGGGCAGTGAGTAAGAGCGTGCCACACTCCGTCTGAGAGATCTCCAACCCAATGAGAAGCGTGCTTGGTCTTGGACTTGACGTTGTGAAGTACCCGAGCCAAGGAGCGATCCGAGAGCTGACTGTCTGCCTTCGCGCTGTTCGGATCCAGGGCGCCAGTGTGGAATAAGAGCTCCGTCATAGTAGCAAAGCCGCCCTCGTCGATGCCGAAAGGCTTCAGAGCGCCCCGGATGCGTCGAACGGAACCTTCTTGGTCGTGCTGATATAGGCGAGTCAAACTGTCGATCACGGGGCCCCGGTACGACTTGGCATCAGGAGTGTTCCGGCCTGGTTGCCCGCCCATCCACATTAAGCGGCGCCGGCTCGTGCACCTCTCGAACAGCTCAAGAAAGCCGTAGTAACCCCACGTTTCAATGCAGACACTAAGGAAGCGCACGCGGGCCACGAGAGCCGACATCTTAGCCTTACGGCGCGCGCTGGAGTTATTGAGAGGCACATTGAGCTGCCAGTCCCAGAAGCGGGCGCGGTTCCTGTTCCAGAAGCGCCAATGCGCTACGTGAACTAGGGGAAAATCGAAGGGACTGTACCAGAGGACGGACCCTCTCCACGGGAAAGCCAACATGAACGGCTCCAGCCCGAGCGACTCGGCCTCTTGATAGATCTTCTCGAGATCGTGGCGCACCCGCGGGGGAGTCCTGTCGGCGAGTTCGAACGGTAAGTCGAAGGAAGGAGGAGACCGGTCCTTGTGCCCCTGCAAAGACGTGCCTTGAAAGCCCTGTGTCTTCTTCTTTCCCGAGCCCAGGCTAGCGTTCTGCTGCGCATGGAGCGTGACTCTAGCGAAGCGGCGATCCTGTGGTGGTTTTCCGCGGGCGTGCTGTCGCGAGGGCGAAGGCAGGATCATAACGGGACCAGTCAAGGCATCGCTGGCCTTACCGCTGCCCTGGATGATGGCCGCCGCTATCTCGTCCAGTATCCCCATCCCCACCGTTCCTTCGTTGATGGCGAGCACGTCGCCCATCGCCAGCCAGAAACAGACATCGGCGGCGGAGTCCTGCGGTCGAGGCGTTCCTTCAGACGAGTCGGAGGAATCCTCCTCGACGACCTCACGGAGTTTCTTGTAGCGACCCTTTTCGCCGGAGCCGCCCATGCCGCTGGTGCTGGGAGAAGAGTCGTCGGGTGCTGGCGTCTGCGTCGCGTGGAGGCAAATTGCCGAATGAGGTGGAAAATTGGCAGACTGGTTGCCGCCTCCGTCTCTCTGGCGTTTCTCGAGAACCCCGCCGTTGGTTGTCGACTGCCCTCTCCCAGATGTCGACTGTGACCGATTGATGGGCAGTGACCACGAAGTTGGAGGAACGGTACGCGGCGGAGTCGGACGTGTCTTCTCCTTATTGTGAAAGTTCATCACAAGGAATGGGGGCTCAAGCAAGCCTTGTCCTGGAATACGCGCGGTGGGAGCTATGGCCGGTATACACCAGCGTGATCGTCGTGTGGGTGTTGACGACTCCCATTAGGAGCGTCAGGTGGGTGTTCCTGACGCAGGTTTGGTGCGTTCTATCCATGAACCTCGAAATCTGTGGAGAGTGTGCCTCTTCTTACCGACACACTCTGCAAGACCGTGAATTCCGCCAGCTACGCGGTTCGGTGTACGATTTCGCGGCGTGGAGCGTTTTCTTTAACGCACCTACCTGGGTCCTTCAGGACGGTGATGCGAGATACGGTGCTTATGGGAGGATCTTCCGCAGTTGGTGGATAGCTTGCAAGGTCTCCTTCGCCGAGTACCTACCTAACGTGCTCGTGGACACTAAGGACTCCGGGAAGCGTTACTGGAACGCTTCATGGGAAGCCAGCCGGGCTACTCTACTTCGTTTTTATGGCGTTGGCGAGTTCGTCTGCTGGGTCGCATTGCTGTGCCTGTCGTTGCTGCTGTTCGTACCTATTAACCTCTACGACCTAGTGGAGTTCGTTCTACAAGGACCTATCGGTGTCGCCATCGGACTTATGCTGCTAGTGACGTACGACTACTGTTACGAATGGACTCGCTGGGACCTGCTAGGACCTCTCATCGTCGTAGTGACCGGTGTGATTTTGCACGCACTGCGTCTGTGCGAAGAGGATAACCCGCTGCTTTCATGGCTCCCCAGAGTGTGGTCGGTCAAGCTTTGACTAACACCCAACTGAACGCTTCGAAGCGTAGGCGTGCCGAGGCTCTCTGCTTGGAACGCTTGCGGTACAAGGACGGTATCGAAGTGTTACACGACTTTCAAGCGTCGGAAGAAGATGTTCCTGCTACGGAAGCGTTCCTGGGTAACTCCTATGGAACCGAGCAACCGCCGGACCATCCTATCGACCTTACGGGTGCGCCAGAAACAATGGCTCGCCTGCGCCGCCAGCATTGGCCATCCGTTCGCCGAGGACGGCAAACTCCAAGTCGGGGAGTATGTCCCGTACCCGGGAATGTAGGTGTCGTGCCAGGCGCTGGCGGGCAGGCTTTTGTGCCAAGGAATCTCGGCGAAGGTCAACGGGCTGCGACGGCGGGCGGCTGGTTCCCGTTGACCCCGCAAGCTCCCACTCACTTCGCACATGAGATCGGTGAAGTTATGGTGTGATTGTATTGGAACGCTACGATGGAGTAAAGGAACGGTGTGTGAGTTCCCTCCTATCGTCTTACGTGGCTGGGGACAAGGCCGAAAGCAAGGTGGACCGCGTCTCGGACCTTCCTGTCGCCGCACGAGGACGGATGTCATGGAGAAGGACTCTTTTGATCAAGATAAACTGAAGCGGTGTCGTGTATAGGAAAGCGAGTTGGCGGTAGGCCCTCGTTCATTAGTCTCAGTCTTACATTTACTACCTCTTGCCTTAGCTGAGTGAGAGAAAGAAACAAGAAGCTTTTTGATATATTAAGTTACCTTGTGCTACCGTTCCTGCCACTACTCGAGACCGTACTCCCTGAACAGCCGCGGACTACCCGACCCTAGAGGTAGTGTACGACACTAGCCTTTATAATTATAGTCATATAAGCTCGGCTGTCGGGGCAGTATTAGTGCAGCAAATATTTTGTCCTTTATTTGTCCTACATGTTTAGGGTTTTGTACCAAAAGAGACAAAATTTACTTAGAAAATCCCATGATTGGGCAGATTTATGATACAAGAAGATACTTTTCTCAAAGAATGCAGACGGGGCACCAAAATTTCGAAGCGTCGATTTATCACCCACGCTCGTCATAAGGTATATTAGCGTGAGGAGGTGAAGTGCGTCAAGTTTAGCTGTCCACAGCATCTCAGCATTTGTTCCCAATTCGCCAGGACGCGTCCAAGATGATAATGGATGCCGTGAGGTGCGTTGCTGGCTATGGGGCGTAACTCTCTGTTTTACCTCACTTCTTGCTGTTTGTTGTGAACAGGTGGGCAACGAACAAAGTGGACGAATCGGTAGTGAATCCTGTGGCCTCGCGACTGGCCGGGTCTGTGGTCAATCCAGCCGTGCTGAGTTTCCTGCTGTGGGACCGCCTCAAGTCGCTTACGCCGCAGCGCGCGCGCGATCTGACGCGGCTTCTGGCCACAGCACTGTCCAATGCATTAGGCGTGTTTGGCGCCGAGCGCGGGACGCAGTTTGGGGACAGCACTAAGCAATTACAGGAAGATTTTGTGCGTGCTGCAAGCTCTCGTAGTGGCCGGGACGTGGTACTCAATAGCGTAGCCACGGTAGCCAAGGTGGCCCAGGCACTTAATACACCAGAGACTAAGGCGGCCACACAGCAGCTATTCCAGACACTGCAGTCCGTGATTGACTTTTTCGCTAGTGATGACGGCCGCCGCATCATCTCCAGCACGGGCGAGTGTCTAGCCAGTGCCAGTGAAATGGCAGCATCGCCTGAAGCGTCCATCTTTTTGGCAGAGCTGGCCACAAATCTGCTGCACACGCTCGAAAGCGAGGAGAAACGACGTTTGAACACGCAACAGCAGGAAAAAGAAGCCATGAAGGAGGAGAGCCAGCAGCAGCATGATAAACTAGATCTAGAGCTGGAGGACGAGATGCAGGTCAACGGAGAGGTGGATGAAAAACATCCTTATTCTCCTACATCTTCGATGGCCGACACTCGGTGGAGCTTCGACACGAAGTCCATGCCCTCGTTGTCGGCACCAGGTACGCCGATGACAGGCATGTACACGCCCAGAGCGTCAGTGGACAGGCCCATGCCCTCGTCATCTCCAGTTCGTCTGGCACAACGACGTCGGGTGTCGATCTCGTCGCCAGTAGAGATAAACAACGGCTACCGCTCGGCGCGCATTGAGAAGGAAGTATTGCTCAAGATGGGGGTCGACTCGTCGCTGCTCAGCGAAATCCAGCGAGTACTTGATGTTATCACAGCAGACGAAGAGGAGAAAGAGCGTGTGGAAATGCAGCGTCAACGTACAGAAGCGGAATACGTCGCCAGTCTGGTAGTCCCGAAGACCGATGAGGACCAAACAGCAGGAATCACGGGCATGGGCATTGCTTGCGCATTCGGCAATAACGAGGAGGAGAAATCCGATGAGGTTGTCGATGGAGATGAAGACGTGTCACCAACAACGCCTGTAATGTTGCCTGAATGGCACGTAGAGCCTGTGCGCGGAGTACTTCGTTGTCGCCACGCTCATGCTGAACTGGTGACAGGGCAACGTGACGCGGCTGAGCGTCAAGCCCGCGAGATGGCAGCGGTACTAGCCCAACGCCACATTAATCACGGCGACCTGCAACCTGCAGATGTTGCAGCTTGTTGGATTATCGCCAGGATGCTCGTCTATGGTGTGGCGTTGTTCATGCTGCTGTCGGGCTACCTGCTCAGCCGCAATCTCTTCCATTTTTGAAACATCTTTGGAGTGATCTGTTTTATTATCGACTCTTTTAACATCGATTAGCGAGTTCTAATTACCTGTTTTTAGTAGTATTTAGAATTGGTACTGTTACTAGTAGTACTTGTCTAATTCAATGCGCAATGGAGTCCAGAATGTTTCGCACAGGCTCGAAACGTTGATCGAGTTCGCGCTGTATGACGGCAGCCGAGTGCCCCATACGCGTCCAGATACGAACCTGACGGAAGTAATCGTCGTAGATCTCGGCAGCACACACAGGGTGGAATTTCTCACCAGCATCTTCTGCAAGTTCGTCAAGATGCTCAAGACCGAACGGTTGGTTGATCAATACGCAACAGCGTCGTGGATCTGACAAGCCATCCCCGGAGGTCAAGGTAGCGTGTACTGCGCTGATAGTCGCGGCAGTCGTCGGGTAATACAGAAGACGAGGGAATTTTTCAGGGTTCTTACCTCGCCGTGCAGCGGGGGACTCATCGTTCTTGCTGTTCTCGTTGTCTTTCTCTTGTGTAAACTTTTTGTCTGGCACATAATTGTCATTCTTCTCAGCAGTCTGGAAGTTTTCGACACTTCCCTTACCCCACGGCGTTGCTACCGGTGCAAGTTCTTGTTCCTCCAATTCCTGACGATGTCGTCCTTCCTGTTCCTCTGCTTCTGCTTTTGCTTTCGCATCTGCGGCGATCACAGCGCGCTCTCGCTCTTCGAAATCCACAGCTTCTGCTGGAGCAAGGACAGCGTAGCCGTGGTGCTCGAGGAACAGTTTTAGCGGCGTGAAGTTGTGAGGTGTCACATCCAAAACCAGTGTCTTCCGTTCATCCACAAAACGTGCACACCACTTCAACACCTCCAACAGAAGAGGTGCTTTCGAGTCGATTAGCACATTCACCTCTTGCTTCAGACGCATTCGTTCACGCAGCGAGACAAAAGACTCTCCACCGAGATCGCAGGGCTGACGAGAGTCCCCCAACAGCACACAAAGACTTCGAAATGGTCGTTTAAGTGCCAGTGCTGCTTGTCGCTCCACAAGGCGATACGCTTGTGAGGCATCTTCGATCGAGAGTTCTTCGTCCTTTGGCAATGAAGTCTCGGGTATCACTCGCAGCTCGAACGCTCTATCCTTTAGTGTGGCATCAGCTTCGATACACAAAATGTACTTGCCCGTAGTAGTTCGCAGTAAGAAGGATCCATCTATATGCAGACCAGTCCACGAGTGACGGAAGCCATTCTGACCTTTGGGTACGCGCCATACACACGGCACTCGCCCTCCGAGCGACCACTGCGCCACGAGATGTCGATGTCGAACTGGATCCTCAAACACAGGCAGGATATGCGCTCCATAACGAGCCATCGACACCTCCGTGACGTCGCTCTCTTTACCTGCAAGACGGATGATGCGTTCCTCGATCCCGTGCAATGGGGGCTCAAGTCCATTGTAAACGTTTTCCAAGTACCCTAACGCCGCTGTCCCGCTCGCTCTCACAATATTCAGCAGCTGAGTCACGACCATGAAACCTGCCAGCATCGCTCGTGTAGTGAAAACACTCATGATCCTCAGCTGCAGCGCTGCATCAGCACTCGACGTTGCTGGATGGAACACTCTCAACAACTGCGTTGGGTCAAGTCCAAGTGATTGAGCTACAAGCTCAGGCGCACGTGCCTCCCAGATGCAACTGGCCAAGAAATTATGCGTTGCATACTTATACATGAATAGTAACGAGTCTCTAGTCAAGGGCTGCACGGGGTCCAGCAGCAAATATGCCTCGTAGGCCGACAGACCGAGCACGCCACTGGAGCATACGCCGAGTAGCGCTAGTCTCGCGGGGTGCACGATGCTGTAGACGGAAACTCGCGCTATACGAAGAAGCACCTGCATTTCTCGAGACAGGGTCATGGCGTGACGATCGATCACAGAGCGACCAGGGAACTCCTGCTCGGGTTTCCAGACCACGTCGCCCAGCCGCTGTTCGTTATTGCGATTTGCAGTAGTAGCCTTGGGCTCCTCCGGCTTGTTGGAGGCGGAGAAGATCGACGGCAGTGCGTCGGGGAGCGACTTGAGTCGATGCAGCGAAACGTCCACACTGCCGCGGCCGCCGACCCAGACGCGCCGCAGGGAGCGCAGCATGAGAAGAAAGGCACAGCAGGGTAAATATATAATCCCCAGTAATCAATTAATGATTTTTTTCAGCAAGGGAAAATGTGGTCAGTTTCGTTCACTACCCCTTTCAACCAATTTTAACACGACGTCTGCTCTCATTTGATTTGATTGGTTATTCTTCAAAACCTCTATTAGATTAGGGGTTATCACGGTTGGAAAGTAAGTATGTTTGGTCAGCCAATTAACCCCTTGGTTCCCGGAATTTTGAACTTACGACGTACGTATTCACTTAATTATTGTATGCTGTGCATAGACGTCTGCGGGAAGCGCTATAAAGTCTCAACAGGTTTTGTTTTCAATGTCGTAACTTATACACCAGTGACACAAAGTATCCAGTCAGAGGAAAAAGACGAAACACAAATCAGCAAAAAGTGTTCGATTCAACAAAAGCTGCCACTCATCAAAGCTGCCACCTAACTCTTGTGCACGGACGGAACTAACTCCTGATCGCCTGCATCTCAGTTTCCCTCTCCCTCGTCGTCTGCATCTCCATTGTGTAGCTGGAGCTCTCGTCGGGTCTTCTTCCTCTGCCCAACTGCCTGCCCGGGACGGCGTAGCACAACTTTCGTTCCTAGTGCAGCAGGGATCGACTGGCCACCGTCAAATTCTTCATGCCAGATCGCAAAGCAGGTCTTTGCCTCGCCCCGGTACGTGTGCCTGATTTTGTTGCAGAGCCAACATTTTGCGTTGTCCACCGAGCATCGCTCGCAGAAGAACGTAGTTGCAAATGACTTCTTCTTCTTGTTGGTCCTTAGAAGGGCGCAAACTTTGCAGGATCTCTGGCGACGCTTCTGCACGCCGCTAACCGTCACCCAATCATCGGACTGCTCAACTTCATGGGCGAGGCGAACCGGAGTACGTTTGCGCTTCTGGCAATGTGATGGCGGCGCCGCCAAAATCCCAGCAAAGTCTTCAGCCTTCAACTGAAGCAATTGGTTCTGGAGAACACAGAACCACTCCCCACGTGCCATCGCAGTAGTCCCTGAAAGCCGAGCCGTTTCCTTGTGCGAAAGGTAAGCATTTACCAACGCAAGATCCACCAATCCCAAGAAGAGGCTCATATAATACTTCTGGTGTAGTGGGCCACGCCATTACATAAGTAGGTAGATTTATATTACAAAAGTAGGTGCAGCAGCACACGGCTAGCGTGTGCTGAACTGCCGTCATCCTATTGGTTGATATATGGGGAGCCAGACCCATTATCAGCCAATAAGGGTTTGACGTGTATTTGAGTGGTCAGGGCAAGCTGCCCTGGACCTAAATAAAAACAGAGTTGATTTTCCTTCAGACTAAGCACTTGGTTTCACTATCGCGGAACTTGCACGCTTCCTCATTATTACGTGTAAGCTAGTAACGGACACTCTAGGCCCGTTACACCTGGTAGCACTTTGTAGTCCTTCCCATGACCAAGTTCACAATGAGCCAAGGCCAGACGTCTGAAGCTTCAGGGCCAACCCTGGAGCATGCTGCTTTCCCTCATGTCACTCGTGTCGAGTGGGAAGCCTTTCACCGCCTTGCGGCGGTGTCCGGTGAGGCTGTTGTCGCGTCGCTGCTGAGCTCAGCGACTCCCGATCAACAACGTCAAGCAGCTCAAGAGTTCATGGAACGCGAGCTCGCCGACGCGAATCGGCGAGCGACAACTCCCTCGCGTTCCTCGAGGAATGACATCGTCAAGTTGGAAACGTCAACCTACTCCGGTGAAGGAGCGAATCGCCTTCCGTTGAATCGCTGGTTTCGCGAAGTCGACATCGCTATCGCCTCGAGGATGATCGAGGCGCAAGGAGCGAAAGTTAACTTCTTACTTTCCCGACTGGCCGGAAAAAGCCAAGGAGTGGGCACTCGGCAAACTGGTCGTAAACAACGATGCGTTCTCCACCCTGGAGGCCCTCCAGAGTGATCTTCGTCTCGCCTTCGAGCCTCCACAAGACGAGTCCCGAGTGCGCGCAGAGTTCTTCGCTCTGCGACAAGGCAATATGACCATGCGCGACTACGTCCAGAAGACACGCCACCTCGCGTCCTGCATCGTCACCAATCCGATTGACATGGCATCTCAAGTCCACGTCTTCGTGTTCGGCATGCGTGAAGGCATGACGCGATACTGTCTGACTCGAGCGGAACCCTTCTCACTCGAGGAGGCATTTGCTCTCGCACTTCGTGAAGACTACGTGGTGGCGGCGTCGTACGCGCGGGCAATGTCCGCGGAAGCTCAAGAGTCAGCTCCGGAGCCGATGGAGATCGACGCGATTGACGCGTCAAGCAACCGCCGTCGTGCAGTCCCTCGCGCGAATGGTGGTCGTCCCAGTCGATCCCTCACTTGCTTCCGCTGTCGGAAGGTTGGACATCGCGCGGCTGAGTGCCGCGCGCCCGCGCCAGTGCTCACGCATACTGTCGATGCCTCTCCTACCGATCAGCCAAAAAACGGTCAGGGCCAGTAGGTGCGGGGCGCCCTACTGGCTGGAATGGAGGTCCGGGTCCCCCGGTGGCAACCCAACCTTCTAGCCCTCGCGTGCTACACGCACACTTCAATGCCACCACAGCGTCGGGCGACTCAAGACTGATCATCATCAGCCTCCATGTCGCCGGCGCCCGACGTCCACTACGCGCGCTTGTGAACTCAGGAGCGACAAACAACTTCTTCCGTGAGTCGTGTTTGTCGACGCTACCCAGCGAAATCGCTGTCCGCAACGGTCGCGGACAGGTTGTAGTCAAGCTTGCTGACGGAAAGCCGCGCCACGTCGCGCGGCGCGAGAATTAGCTTGCCGTACACCTTCGACGGCTTTCGCAGCAATGTACGACTTCCTCGTGATTGTAGATGTAACTCACGCCATTCGAATGTGCCATCTCTCGGGGACATCTCGTGGTTGTCCACGCGTATCTAGCCAGAGAAATGACTCGTTGGCCGCTCGTTAAACACGCAGCGTTTCGACGCGGAGCGAGGTGTTCACCCACCTCTGGTTGCCCAGAAGGACTGGCCCCACGTCACCGTCGTGGACCGGTCGTCCACGACGCAGGCTGGACACAGAGTGAGCGATGGCCCTCTCTGCACGGCTTGCGCAGTGCTGTTGCACGAAGGCTCCTCGCCGCGAGGCGAGGGCAAGAACACGATGGCGGTCGAGCAGGGGCTTCCGCAATACGAGCAAGCGGTCGAGCATGGGTTCCCGCAGCGCACAACTGCGGTCGAGCATGGGTTCCCGCGGCGCACCACAGCGGTCGAGCATGAGTTCCCGCAGCACAATATGGCGGTCGAGCATGGGTTCCAGCAATGCAACACGGCGGTCGAGCAGTCGAGGCTCCCGTCACCCGAGCCGGTGATCGAGCAAATGGAGCTCCCGCCGAACGACCACGCGGTCAAGCAGTGGCCCCCGCGTGTGACCGGCACAGTCGAGAGTGAGCTTCAGGGCCTAGCGTGGGGTGATACATCGTCCAGCGAGAGCGATTCTTCCTGGCGCCGGGCAAAGAAGTCGAAGCGCCGTCATTTGAAGCCACGACGTGAAACTGCACCGAACGGCATCTCACAGACGGAGTCGGTCTGTGTCATTGAGCACGTGGACGACGGCATGGGCCGTCAGCGCACCGTCGATCTTGTGTGTCCACCTCGCGACGCTCAATCGATCACCCGGCTTCCAGGTCTCTCCTGGAAGAACTTCCTTCGTGGTCTCAAGGTTGGTGAGGTTGAGCAGGTCTGCCTGATCACAGACACTTCGTCTACGCCACTCGAAGGGAACACCGTCAGTGATGACGACGGATCCACCCGTCCCAAGAGCGCCGAACCGAAGTCCGCTCGCGAGGAGCGATTCGCAGCGCAGTCCTGGGAGTCCTTGCGCGAGTCTGGTAATCCAGTGTACGAGACCGTCCGCGAATACGCGGACGTCTTTCCCGATAAGATTCCAGCCGAACTGCCTGCCGATCGAGGCGTCCGCCCCGAGATCGATCTCGCGCCCGGTTCGCAGGACTGTGTGACGCGGCAGTGGCCGCTGCCGCGAGACCAAGTCAAGGCCATCGACGACTTCTTCGAGAATCGCCGTAAAGCGGGTCACGTGCGTGAGAGTGTCTCTCCACATTCGAGCCCAACGTTCTGTGTGAAGAAGGCCACAGGCGGATGGTGCATCGTTCATGCCTTTAACAAGTTGAATGATGCGACCATCCCCGCGCAAACCTCAATTCCCCGGAAGGACATGGTGCTCGACACCATGGCGGGCAGTGTCGTCTTCAGCGCCATCGACTTGACCGATGGATTCTATCAGATCTTGATGAGACCGAGCGACATCCCCCTGACAGCGGTCAGCACCCCCAGCGGTATGCTCTGGGAGTGGCTTGTGATGCCACAAGGCTTGAAGAATGCTCCCGCCACGTTCAATCGCATGGTCTCCCATGTGCTGCGTCCGCTTCGAGACTTCGCACCGAGCTACTTCGACGACATCTTCGTGCACAGCCGCGCTGAAGATGGTCTCAGCGCGATAGAAGTCCACTTGAGGCACTTAGAACAGGTCTTCCAAGTGATGCGCGAGAACAAGTTGTACGCGAACCTGAAGAAGTGTATCTTCTGCGCGCCGGAGATTCCGGTGCTGGGCTGCTTCGTGGGCAAGGACGGCGTTCGCGCCGACCCGGAGAAGGTGTCCTCTATCTGCGCATGGCCGACACCAAAGAACCCCACTGAGTTGCGTCAGTGGTTGGGGCTAGCAAATTATCTCCACAAGTACACGAAGAATTACGCCGGATTGATCCAGCTCCTCTCATCACTCCTGAAGAAAGATGCCACATGGGTCTGGTCACCCGCGCACCAAGCCACCTTCGACTCAGTACAGAAGAGCCTTGCTGAGGCGCCGATTCTAGCTCTTCCCGACGACTCGAAACCATATCACGTCGTTTGCGACGCGAGCGACTTTGCCATCGGCTGTGCGCTGATACAGTTTGACGACGAAGGACGTGAACGGGTCGTCAGCTATCAGTCTCGACAGATGAAGCCA